ATTGTTCAATAAAATAATAACTATCTAAAAATAACTATCCAATAGAAATACTAATAAATATAATCCAATAATAATTATTATTTTATCAATTATTTTAATTATTATTATTCTTTATTGTTAACTGATTAAGTTTTGTAGTCAATTCTTCTATTTGTTTTGCTAATGAATTTTGTACTATTTAATTTGATATAACTGGTATATTAAATAAATTTGATATAATTATTATTGAATTGATTAACTTGTCTATAACTAGAATCATAAAGTTATGCAGTTTGAATAGTATCATTTAGAGTTACTGGTTTGGATGAACTAATAAAAAATTTGATTTTTGATTTTAGACCTTCCAAAAATAATATTACTGATAAGTGAACTAGATAAACATTTGTTAGATTAATTTAATATAATAATTCTCTTATAATGGATAAATATTATTCAACACTTTCAGTTAGTAATTGTTTTCTTTGATTGAGTTATTGTTGTCACTTATATTATTTTCCAACTGTTCTAAATTATAATTTGAATTAATGAATAAATGATGCTCATTTATCAATTGCATTACCAGGAGTGTTTGAATTTCATTATTCAGGCCAATTTGCTATTGTCATATACTTATTTGCTAATCAGGTACTGGCAGATTCTTTTAGATAAGCTCCAATAATTATTATTTTTCTTGCATCAGTTATATTATTCACTTAACATGTACTTTCAAAGTCTTGTAGTCATCCAATTGGATTTTGACTATCACCAAAAAAGTCAACTATTTTTGCAAATGATAATTCTCTTGTGAATGCTGGTGTAGCTGCTTGAATATTAATTATATCAGCTAAATTATTCAAATTAATCATTAAAGTATTGAATTGAAAATTATTTATTATTGGTAATAAATTATTTTCTGAATTGGGATAGTTTAAAGTTTGAACTAGAGTTGGTTGTTGTTATAGTTAAAGTTCTTCTTTAATTATTTCTTCACTTTGAATTATAATTTGATCTTCTTGATTTTGTAGTACTAGTAATTGTTTTCAAAGTTTTTCTTGATATCTAAAAGTTATTCTTTGAAAAATGAAATTTGTAATATCTTGTTGTAAGTTATATGTATAAGTTTGAATTTTTTCTTTACTATATTGTAAGTGCTTTCTTAGTAATTTGACTAATTGATTTATTATTTCTACTACTAATTTTTTAATATAAGTTTCTTTAAATAATAATAAAAGTTTTTCTCTTATATCTCGAAGTTGTTGTTCAGTAAGACTTTCTTTTAATTCTACTCTGTTTCTTAATTCTTTAAAAAGTCAATTTGCTTCAGTAATAGTGAATTTTGTTGAATTCAATTTGATTTATTGGTTTGAATAATTCATCCATAAAGAATTTGTTTACTAATTAATTTTTTGTATTTGATATTTTTGAAGATTTCTTTTTCACAAAAGGAAGCACCAAATTTTGTGTAAGAATACTTTCTTATGTGAAAAATAATAAGATAAATTTATTAATTGCTATAAATAAATTATATCAATTGAGATAGTTTTCAGTTTTAATTTTAATAAAGTTTATTTTTTTATTTATTAAATAGTGAAAATATGTAAAGAGCTATAGTAAAGAACAAAGATATTTAAATATATAATTAATATTAAACAAATTACAAATAATTTAATGATAAAATAGAAAGTAATTGATTCTAAATTATTAATCTTAAATTTGATACATCTCCAAATTATGCTGTACTTAATGAATATATATAAAATATAAATAATAATGAAAAATAATTAATACGAATTAAAAATAATAAAAAAAAAGAAAAGAATGAATAAAAATAAAAGTAATTAAAAATAATGTGTATCCAAATTAATATAATCTATATTTTATATCTAATCTATTTAGCGCAATATTAAGAAGTATTAAATGTAGATCTGTATTAATTTCTAATATGTTATGCAAAAATTGATAAATATAATATGAAAAAGGATAGATATGATACAAGAAATTACAAGGGTATATTAAAATTGTTACATTTATATTGTATTGTGCTAAGCAAATCACTATTATTGACTTTGAACTTTATATTATATTGCACTAAGCAAATTATTGTTATTGAATTATTGAACTTTATATTATATTGTACTGAACAAATTACTATATTAAAATTATTAGAATTAAATTTTAAATATTTTAATTTTTGATTATTAATAAATATTTCTCACTTGTAAAAAGAACAAAGTGAAAGAGTTTTTGTTATTATTATTATTAATTATATTATTTTAGCTCTGAAAAGCTTTATGCTAGTATAGAGAATTAATCTTTAAATCTTTTTTATTATTCTTTTATTTTTTAAACTCTCTTTTCTTTTTGATCTTTACTCTTTTACAACTCTTCTATATTATTATTTTTTTAAGTAAATACAATTTCCATAGAAATTGGTATAAATCTTAGATATTTCTCTTTTTTTTAATATTTTTAACAGCTATCACTCTCTCTCAATTCAGGTTCAAGTTTGTAAGCTAATTTAATAATTAATAAACAAACTTGTAACAATAATATAAAGTATCTCTCTTTATAGTTCCAAAAATTAGTATTATTTATACCAAAACTAGTATAATCCAAATTAAACTTACAGTTTTTATATTAAGTATTCACTATATAATATTTTTTTCTTTTTACAAAGTATTTGATGAATACTAATTAATTTTTGAATCACTAAAATATAAAGATTTAGAATATTAATTGCTGAAAAATATAGTATTATAAAGAAGATTAATTGATAAATTGTCAAGATCTTATAAAATCATGAAAATTGAACTATTAATAATTGATCAAAGATTATATGATCTAATGAATACAAATTTAAGATTTTTAATTCATATAGAAAGCAATATTATTTGGAGTCATTAAATAAATTTTATATTAAATCTATGATAAACTTTGGAGTGAATTGATAATGATATGGAATAGCTAATGTCCCGGGATGTTGATAACTTTTGTAAGATTGATAAGTTAAAGTATTGGATTGACCACCATAATCAACTGATCTGAATTCCATCGAATATTTATGGAATGAGGTTAATTATTGTCTCTGGTATCTTTCTGGACAAATTTTGGGTAAGAGAGACTTGTGAAACAAGATACAACAGGTTTGGCAAGAAATCGACATTGATACCCGCACCAATCTGATCCACTCTATACCAGAAAGAATTTGTGATGTAATAAAGGTATGAGGTGGCTATACAAGATGATAAGGTGGGCCAAATTCTATCTGATATATATATATATATATATATATTAATTTAGTTTTATATGTCGTATTTGAGTTGTGTTCAAAAAAATAATGCAACAGTACTTACTAAATAAATGTACAATTTGTGGGACAATCGACTTATGGATCCATATTTAATTTTTACTATCTGAAAATGATACTATTAATGAATAAGACACAAAAAAAGGATATCTCTGAAATTGTATGAAATATTACGATTCAACGAAAATTTTTTTTGTTGCATTATGGTCGCTACTGTACGTCAATGGTCAAAAAGTAAACATTTAGGTAGTTCATTCGGTTATCAAGACAGGTTTACTATATCTGTTCTGTTCTTGAACAAGCATTGCATTATCGATGCAAATTTGCTATAGCTGTTCCTGGAACCAAATTGAAACATATAGACGTAGTGCGAACGGTCTAAACCATTCAATACTGCGCTACTGCTGTATTTTTTGAAGGATATAAGGTGATATGTTAGATTTTGCATGAAAAAATAATCATGCATTTTTACACGAAGAAATTCTACCAATAAAAAATAATGCATGTGGTGTAAAATTAAACCATTTTTATTAAAAGTGATTGTTAAAAACTCTAACTGCTCACTAATTTAACATTATACTATACAAAAAAATAAATACATTATATTATAGAAATTTTAGCAATGTATTTTTTATAATTAAATACTTATTTATAATTCTTTACAATTCAAAGTATTAGATGACTTTAGACCTGTCGCATCATAACGATAAACCATGTCATTTTGAAAATTTCAATTATTTCGGCACTTAAATCACAATGTACCTCTTTAGTTTGTCTCTAATTTGTGAATTCTAAAATTCAGATGGGCATCACTTGGTCATTTTAGTTCACTCATTAAATTGGAAGTAATAAAATACATTGCCCGTCAAGGAGATATTGCAAATTTTCATCATAATCCATTTTTCATTATGATTCCCCCACTATTTTTATTTAAATACGTTTCTTTTGTGTTGTGAAATCTAGAAAATAAAAAAACTATCCCATCATCATATTTGAAGGGAAAGCAAATGTTTCTTTGTATGGTGAAAAGAATAATATTTTGACCAAATGTCAATAACATATAATGGATTTAGAAGCTTGAATATTTTCTTAGTTGCGAATATCTCTCGACTTAATTTTTTATCGTTATCACCTCTAATGAATTAGAATTATTAGAACTTGATGTTAATGCAATTTTATGTGAAAATCCTTCGTTTACTATGTATTGTATGGAGTTAGCTATTCCACTGAAGCTCAGTCCTGTTTTTCATAAAAAAAGTAATAAGTAAATGAAAGTTAAGGTATGGAATAATGATAAATCAAGCTTACTAACCTATAATCAGGATTATATATGTCCAAGCTTCTTCATTGCCATTTCTATGCACTGCTACAAACACGCTTATGGGTAACTAATAATTCAGTATAATTTTGTTAATGAAAAGTTATGTAATTGTTTAAATTGTTATATATTTTTGGATTACCCATTGTAAAAAAAAAAGCAGAATATATCGTGCGACATTTCTTGCGATTCGATGCTCAAAGTCATTAAATGTACGACTATCCAGTCTTTCGCGTAGTTGTGAGCGATGACGTACTAACAATATTATAATACGATAATGTGCAAATATTACTATGACTACTTCCATAGTCATACTCATTATTCCTATCATCTCAAGTGTGTTGGCATTCTTCTTCCCAGCACACCTTTTTATCAAAAGCAATGAAAAAAACTTAATATTTTAAGGACTTTGCAAATACATGTAATGCGAGTTTTCACATACCACCATCTTCCAGCCCCATATCCGTTGATAACTGTTAACAACGGTAGCGTGGCCAAAGCAACAACAATAATAAAAAGTTTGTAATCGCATTTGCCGTAATCGAATCGTATCTTTCGGCAAACTGAGTATAGGTGATGTAAGCATAATTTTTTAAACATATTTAATGCAATGCAACAAACTAACCTCGAAGATAGGTGGAAATAGCTACTGTAAAGAAAAGATGTAGATTTAAACTAAGAGTCCAAATTGATAATGCACCAATAACCTCACACACTGGACTGAACCATGGAACCGCATATATAACTGAGTAACCCTTCATTGTTTTTTTTTCAAAAAATTTATGTTATATTGCATTTCAATATTGAAATTAAATTATCAATTAACTTGGATATTTACTGTGTTAACTAGATGTGCGATTATTATCAAGCAATCTATTCAATTGAAAAAATATAACGATAATAAAGAAGTTAGAAATTTTTTTCATCTGATTATTGCCCGAAAACAAGACTTACCAACTATAACACTATAAAATGGCAATCTTAATGACATAGGAAGCGTTTCGTAATTATTACTCTTCCATTTCATATATGTTCGATATATTACATAGATAGAGCCAATTAAACTTAAACTAAAAAAGATATAAATAAATGTAAAGACTATATGGAAAGTGAGATCTTTTACGCCATTATATGGTCGCGTTGAAGGCCAGTTTGGTGGGGCATGCAAATTTGCATATGTAGGCGTAGGTGTAGGTGTAGTGTTAGTGGCAAATTTACCACCGTTTTGAGTACTATCCATTTCCAATTTAATTATTTAACATTAGCTAGAAAACCATGAATAATTAAAGGTTACAGAAAAATACGTAATCTTTTTATACATGTATATCGCAATCTTCATGCTAAAAACGGATAATAACCGAAATACATGTACATGTACATGTACATGATACGTACGTATTAGATAAGTTAATGCTGACATTACCATTACGTAATAGTAACTCGGTTCACAAATTGCATAAAAATTGATCACATGTGTAATACATGTAATATACATGTTCGTATTTACGTGACGGTAACGGGAGAAATACAAAACGTTAACGTTAATAATTAATTTAGCATTACAAAACGGCTAAAATCATTTTCTTCTTTTAACATGATAATCAACCCATGATTCTCTCTTTTTGGCAACTTTCTTTCAACGTTGGCAATTAATACTTGTAATTTCGAATACATATATATATGAAAAGTGATAAATTGATCAATGCCAATTATCGTAATCTTAGATTCAGTCTATTAAAAGCAAAACTTTTATCTTGAACAAAAACTCGTATAAATGCGTGGATAAAATTTCTGGATGAGTCACTGTAAGCCCATGCGTTCCATTCGGAATAGTAACAACACGAGCCTGAAGAATATATTGTTGTAGACATCTGCAGAGACGATATGGTACTGTCTCGTCATCAGATCCCTAGAAAACTAATTTTCGAATTTGTACAATTAAAATTGACACATTTATTTAAATAATATCCAAGCAACTAATACTTGCATTTCACCTTCTTTATAGGCTTCCTCAAGCCTGTGAAGAGGAAATGTTTGACTGTTGAAATATAACTGTCAACGAATTCTGATGTTTTTGCAATTGATACATTACGATGCTTTCAATCTCGTCTGCAAGTGCTGAGCCATTTGATTATTGATTTTTCGATGAGCAGCTATTTTAGCGTTGAAAAAGGAATTAATAAACATTAAATTCAAATATACCCTCGTCATCGAATTCTGAATCATTTTCGAGACACCAAGAAAGTAAGAATCTTCCCAACAACAGGAATATCAACAGGTTAGAATAATTCACAGGAACAACTTCTTTTTTCTAGAAATTTTTGTGCAAACAAGACTGAAATGGCACCACTCTATAGCAACAAATATACCTCCTTTTAAGTTTATTACTGAAGATTTGGCTTCATTCTAGCTGGCCACAACACGAACACAGTTTGCCTACCTTTAGATAATCTAACATTCACCCATAATTATTGAAAATCCCCCTACTAACGCTAATACATACGTACTTATCATTATCATTTATTATATATGTAAATCTATACCAAACCGGTATCATTATTCATGTTGACTTTAAATTATTTGCATATACATGTACATATCAGTTTCTTTTATCAAAACCAACTTTATCTAAAAGATTAAACTTTTCGATAAATAATGTTTTGTCGTGATCACATTTAAGACTGGCGCTGTATCCTAGTCTATTTTTTAAAAAAGGTGATATTTATTCTTTAGCATAGAAAATTGTTATATTTTACCATAAAAGGTCTCAATTTCTTTAAAACAATCGAGTACAGAGGGCGATCTAAATTATGCGACATTTTTATAAAGTAAAATACGTAACACAAAATCTATGAAAGGTCTTATTTCATGAATTAAACTTTTATTTTTATTGACCATTTTTTTTACATAATCTATTAATACAGAGAGCAATCAAAATGATGTAGATATATTGTTACAAGTTTGTTTACAAATCGTTAAATTAGCTTACAAACTTGAACCTGTGTTGGGAGAGAGGGTTCAACAATAAACAAAATATTAAAGAGAAAAGAGGGATATCTAAGTCCTATGCCAATTTCTAATTCAATGATATAATAATAATATGGGAGAGTTATTGGAGAGTAAAGGTCGAAGGGGAGAGAAAAAGATATAAAATATTAAGAGAATAAATGATAAAGGGGTTTGTTTCATCTTTTTTACCTTTTATTTTATCTTTTTCTTTTTTTTATCATCTATTTTATATATTTTAATTTCATTTTTGTACTTTTCCTTACTTTTGAATAGTATCAAATTAATTTGAATATTATTGACAAAATTATGATATAAAAATTATGGAATTACAAAATTTTTGTTGAGAATGATAATACTATCATATTATCATTCAATCCACCTGGATAAAACAAATCAAATAGTAATGTTTGTATTCAAAAGTTTACTGAATACTAAGATACTATAAACTGAAAAAATTTATTTAAAAAACAATGTAAATAATACAGCAATTTGTGTTAGAGTATCTTGGCATCCAGTAAACTGTAATGGTCAAAGAATAAAATATCATCCACCAAATTTCTATCACATTGTACAGTCGCCACAGAAAGTAACGCCCGATTTTGATGTGCAACATCAACGTAACTTTAAATGTGGCGGTTTTCCCCCTTTTTGATATTGTTGACTGCAAATTTTTTTATTTCTTTCTTCGACTTTTGAACATACACTGGGCGAAATTTGTTAGCTGTAAATATAACACACACCGCCTCCAGTTGACCGA